CGAACCATCGTGGATAGAAGGCGGTGATATGGTTGAATGTATTAACGAAAGAGGTAATATGATGTAGAGGATCGAAACCAGGTGGTAGTGGATTGTTTGAGCAGGTAGCATTTGGTGCCAATTCCGGCCAACTTTCTGTCCACTTGTTAAGCGATGCTACCAAAGCATATGGCAGTCGCGTATCCATCTCACACTTCTTTGATTCCAAGAATGCGTTGAAACGCTGCATCATATCGACATGATCCAGATCACCGCGGCAAAGGCCCCTGCAAGCAGAATCCCCAAAAATAACACGAAAATCTGACATACAAAATGCCTGTATGGTGCATGCGGGTCGGAAGGATTACACGGAATGTAAATATGCAACACTGTCGATAGTTGCCCTGCTGCAGTGTTGTTACTGAGGCAAAATCAGCCATTGAAGACAATGCATAAAAGTAATTGTCAAAATGTGCAAAATTTGGCTATAAATGCGCAAAAACCTTTTTGGAACATAGTGTCCAACCAAATCCTTCCGTGGATTAACTGGTCGTTGTACGCTTGCATTCAGGACAGTCTCGTTTCGACGTCGATATGAAACGAATCCAATGGTCAGCGGTGTACCGTCCACTGCTTTACAAAAATAATCCTTTTCACCCTGAACTATCAATGTCTGTCCTACTAATAGCGAAATGCTAAATTTTGATCATTGCTTGCTCAGATCTATTAAATAGAATTTAGCAGAATTCAATCAGAATTTGAAAGATTTAAAAGAGATAGATTTGCTCAATAGGAAGATACGTCGGAAAGCATGAAGCCATCGCACTGTCGGTCGATCATCGTCTTTCGGAATTTTGAAAATTCCACCGTTTCGCTTTCCAGTTCTGCCTGAGTTAAATTTAACATGTTAGTAAAATCGCTTTTGAAGCATTTACTCAGAATGCATTTTCAAAATTCTTGTAAAAATTTTTAGAACTTAGTTTCTTATGCAATCGTCCGATTTGATGAACGATTATTACGAGCAAATGTGAGTCTAAGATGAACAAAACTGAGTCAGTGAGAACTTTTCACTGCGATCACCAAGGGTCTTTGTATGTAGAAAACTCACCGATGAATCAATCAACCCCTCTTAAGCCTTGTTAAATTGTTTTATTGGCAAACTGGTATTACTAGATCTGGTACGGTGGAAACCCAAATTGCATTAGGCTTTACTTTTGGTGTAATTTCCAGAAAATGCAGCTATTTGCTTCTTATCATCTCGCTGATAAGGTCACAGACATTCCGTTTAAACGGATAAAATTAAAGAAAGCAGTGAGACGCAAAATAAAGTTCTACAGTAAATAATAATAGAGTAAGAGAAAATGACAAAAAGACGGGATTTAAAAAACTGCACGAAAAAATTCTGTGAGCTCTAAAACCTTCACATATCAGACCGCGAAACACGAAATCTAAATGCAGTGAAGATGAGGAGTTCAATTTCTTTCCAGCCGAAATAATTATTGGCCACTGGGATCTATTCGGCGACTGTTATGTTGTTCAGTCCGTCCGTCAACTCAAGCGGATAAAAAAATGGAAAAATGGCTAAGTTTTTGAGCTGAAAAAATTATTGGAAATATCTGAAACCAGTCTCTTGCACTGATTATCGGATAACGTACAATGTCAATGTTTGGGATGGAATCGGAAAGGCCCATGAGTTTCAACACGCGTTCGTCGGCTTCACCAAACTGTACCTTTGCGCCCCCGCGTGAGCGTGATCTCTTATCGTAACAAGCAGTTCGACGAACTGAATAAACCTCAGTTTTCTGAAATTTATTCAAATTTTTTTTCGTCGTACTTACGTTTCTGAAATTAGTCTTAAGATTTGAAATCTGTGTCATGAAACACGAATGTATTACGAACGATACACAAGAAATATACACAAACATTTAAGAAGTAATTATATTTTTCCCATGATATCAGTAACGTATATTTTTTACAACTAATTTTGATAGCATGTCTTTATCAAACACTTTTGTAATGCCGTAAAGGAACGGCTCTCTGGGATTAAGATCAGTCGGTTGGATCGAGATTTT